CACTTTCCAGTTTTCTCAATGATAATGTGTCTCCTTGGCTTGCATGAACTTTTGAATCTCTCTCTTGTGAGTTTGTGAGCGTGTGTGTATGAGTATGAGTATTTGTGTGTGTACTGACACACTGGTGGACATATACACCACAAAGCAGCAGTTCTTTAGGTTCCTAGGTTGTGCAGAGCCCAACATAGCAAGTGAACACAGACCATTTGTCCCTGAAGATAGCTGGGAGAGGGATCATGACTATAAAATTAACTCAACCAGGTTGTTGTTGTTGTTATGTGCTGTGGAGTCGGTTCCTACTCATAACGACCCTATATGGGGTTTCCAAGGCTGTAAATCTTTACAGGAGCAGAAAGCCTCATCTTTCTCCCACAGAACCACTGGTAGTTTCGAACTGCTGACCTTAAGGTTCGCAGCCCATTTGTAACCACTATGCTACCAGAACTCAATCAGGTAGCGCCTCCTTTTTTAACCTGGCTAAGCTTTAGAGTCCTGGTGTGGTGGGTTAATGAGCTGTACTGTAAGGTTGGTTTGAACCGCAAGGCCAGCGGTTCAAGCTCACCAGCCTCTCCGCTCCTTGAAAACCCTATAAAGGGTTGCTATGAGTTGGAACCAACTTAATGGCACTTCACAACAAAACAACAACAAGCTTCAGAAGCACAGACTTTATACTTTCAAAACACCAGCATGATACCTGGGGCTCCCAGCCTGCTGGCTTAAACAGCTATGGACTCACAAAACTACATTCATTTTTGAATAGACTTTATTTACAATTGTTCATTCTTTCTGAAGATCTTTTGGAATGACCTAGGTTAAAATCAGTACATAAAATAGTTTCCAGGGTATTTGTTATATATGTCACAGAATAGGTTAACAATGTATAAATGTGTTTCATTGATACACAAACCGGAAGAAGCACCCTTTGCCAAAAGCAATCCCTTCGCTTAGTTTGATTTGGCAACAGTAGCACTTTAAACAATGACCATGAGATGGCGCTGTGGTCAAGCAAATTATTCTTTACATAGGGTTTTCCCTAATTATGGCATTTACATTTATTCTTTATAGAATAAGGTGCTATTCAATTTAAATCAGGAAAGGTTTGTTACTTTATTTAGATAGTGTTGACCATGATGTACTCCCTAGTCACAGAACCATAAATCATTTAAAGGGCTGCAGTTCATTGGGTGAACCAAGTAGTCAGAAAGGCGTTTCTGGGTGGCAGAAATGGTTAAGTGTTCAATGACTGGTTAAAAGGTCTGCTGTTGAAACCCAGCGATGCTTTAGAAGACAGACTTAGCAATCTATACCTACGCCTCAATTATAGTTGTTGTTGAGAAGGGCCATCGAGTCGGATCCGATCCATAGCGACCGTGTATACGGTTTCCGAGGAGCAGCTGGCGAGCTTGAACTGCCGACCTTGCAGTTCAAACAGCTTTGCAGTCTGGCGCATTAACCCACAGCGCCACACCAGGACTCCTCAATTATGGTACTACCTCCTTATCTGACATTTTTGTATTTAGGGCAACAGTAAAAAATCGACTTAAATCACCTTTAAGTGAGAGTTAGTGCCTTCTCCAGAGCCCCAAGTTCGCCATCCCATCTCTGCTATCTCACCCTTATCCCCAGACTTGGATACAAACCAAGTTAAAAGAGAAGGATAAAAGAGAACGGCCAGGCAAGATGCAAGATGTGATCTTGAGCCATTAACCTACACTCATGTTCTAGGACCTAGTTGGAATTACCTGGGCTGGTGTGGTGTTGTAGGATAAGCACTACACTGCTAACCACAAGGTCAGTGGTTCAAAACAACTAAGCCCTTGGAAGCCCTATACAGGGTGGCTGTGAGTTAAACTCCACAGCGCTTAACCAACAATAGGCTGATGGCCGCCTGGCTGCCATCTGAGCAGAGCTGCAACCTTGGGCTGTGAGTCTGTGCCAAGGCAGCTCAGGGGTGCTGACAGAGCAGCGATCACTTCTAAGCAGACCCCAAGATTGCCCTTGGTACTCTTGGGGCGCTGGGGCCAGGAGGTAGCAGTTCCAAATGAGCAGAAAGGAACTTCCATGGAGAGCAAGAACTCCTGGTGGGCGGGGCAGGGGCCGGGGCCGGGGCCGGGGCCGGGGCCGGGGGCGGGGGCAAGGGCAGGTCCCTTCCTGGCAGCAAATTCTGATCCATCCACATCTGCCTGTAGTTTGAAAGGGCACAAGCAGACCTGCCCCCTCCCCCCCTCCCCCCAAGAATGTCGGACCTCGAGGCTTTGAGATGGAAGCCGCAGAGGAGGAAGCAGCTTTATGGGCCAACTTAGAAGAGCATTATGGTCGCTGATGTTCACATAATGCCAATTTTTGCACAAAAACTGGTTTTTGGAACCTAACCGTGTGGATAAGGAGTGGGCTGTACTGAAATTTGAAAAGGCTGTTTAGCATATAGGGAGGGGGTAAAAATGAGTCAGAGTCAACTCCGTAGTAACTGCTAGCAGCAGTAACTCAGAAAGTCCCCAGACTAAATAAAAAGTCTATTTTATTTAAGATCAATAAACTATATATGTGGACCATTGTTTTCCTCACCATCAGAGAATTGTGTCAAAGTTTCTCACAAAATTAGACAAACTTCCAGTTTATTTGAAGAACTGTTATCCCTGTTACACTGTAATGGAAGGGCATAGAAACATTAGAACATGAATTCACATTTAAACTGACATGATATGAACATGCACATGTGGGCATATATTAAGTATTTTCATTAATATCTCTTGCTTCTCTTCCATATAAATATATAAATATTGAATAAAGTGCATGGGAACATGTCTGTACATATATACAGATAGACGCTTGTCTATATACACTTCAGTAGATACTTAAGAAAAGAAAAGAAACATACACATTTGCAATATTGATGTAGTCAAAAGATATTGGTCAGGCAGCATTTATGTTCATCCTGATGAAGATTCAGTACATTGGGGAAGACTCTGCAATCTTTTCTCGAATATATAATGAGATGCACAGAGTTATAAACCAAGGCAAAGTACATTAGAATAGAGTCATTTCTATTTTTACTAGTATATATATAATGAATAAGAGTAGTCCGTTCAAATGAAGGCTTGTACTAGTGACTTACTATCAATTCTAGCTTTGAAGTAGTAAACCATCTTCTCAGTCAACAATGTAAAGCAAAGGTATAAATCAGGATAGACCTAACCCATTTCCAAATTACACAATGACATGTCTCAGATATTTTAGTTTCAGAATCTATAATTTCTTCAAGAGGGCTCGGGACAAAGATTTTTGCATTCAATATGAAATGCTTTAGTATTGTAATCACATTATTTTACATATAATTTGATAATAATGTGTAGTTTAGCCTAAAGAAACAGAACATCAGGCGGATTAACTACTGTTAATCTCTTTAGCAAACATTTCTACATAATGTTAGATTACTGCCTTCTTTATTAGGGTGTGTAGTGTTGGTGAATAATGCTAAAATGAATTAATTTTTTTTAGAGAGAGACCAGACATCTTGGTTGTCATAGCTTGAGTCCAGGCTGAGGTGCCTATGTCTAAATTAATTCAATTTTTATCTCAAGTGACCTTTTCTATCTTTCTTGTTTGTTTGATATTTAATGACAACTAATCAAGAAAACTTATTCTAGAATACTACCCTCAAAGAGGAAACAAATTTGTTTTTGAGTTAGGAGAAAAGAAAATCAGTTTAACTTTAAAATAAGTCTCATATTTTGAGAACGATGATTATAGTTTAGCTATTTTCTTTAAGGGCAAGGATTTTATGCTATTCATTTAAAAATCCCCAATAGCTAGCAATTTACAGTGCCTGAGCAGTGCAAAGGGCCAATGCTCTTGGCTGCTAACTAGGATGTTGACAGTTCAAATCCATCCAGAGGCACCTTGGAAGTCAACTTTACAGCAACTGATTTACCCAGCAAATTGCTTCATATATAGTAGATCCTCAATACATGATTGTGGAGCCACACTGAATAGTTTTAGATAATATAGATTGATTGATCTGAAGGCATCAATTTACCTGATGGGTGTCAATGCGGAAGATAACTGTTTTGTTTTTTTGTTTTTTAACAGAGATGCTGAGTTTGTTCCTCAGTCTTGGCAGAGTTACGTCAACATACTGCTTACTGCTCAGAGGAGCGCATGCAGGATGCAGTCTTGACAGAGCAAATGACCAGCTACCTCTCTGCTGTTGTTTTAGAGAAGCAATTTCTAGAAACGCATTTGGTAATGTGAAGCTATCCTTTTGATAATTTACCTAGTAGAACAACATTAAACAAGACCACAATGGAAATGCAGAGTCAAGCGCAAGAAGTAGAAGAGAAAGCAGCATTCGTTATTAAATAACATTGAAAATCTTTTTCACGTCTGAGAAGAATGAACCTGAAATGCTGCAAATGCTAGCAACTTTATGACTACTTCAAAATGGCATCTATGAAAAATCTGGAATGAAAAATTGTCAAGTATTTAATAATTATTTTAGCAGTACAGATTTCATAACACCGCTCCTTAGTGTTTTCTTTGTCTTTCGAAATACAGATAATGGTAAGTTTTCACGAAAATGTTCCTTTACTTAGGAGGCCATTGTTACTGACAAATGTCACTATTGACAGCTATTTATATTTATACAAGAGATAATCATTAAACCCAATGTCACATCAAGTAGCAACACAGTAGCAAGTCTTCCATTCAAAAACAGAAATTAATTTAGATTTCCTTATGGCCTCATTATAATAATACATTAAAAGCTAATTATTTTAAAGACATAGCATTTACAAGGTTAAAAATAAGTATCATAAAGCTCACAGCTGAAATGCTGTTAGGACTTTTTAGAAGTGCACATTTTGTGGTATTTAAACCCTGCTTTTCATTGACAGATGAAAATGAGGCATAGATTGATATTATTGTAGGTTCCACTAGACTGGCCTAATTTTGCTCCTGTCTTCCTTTCTCTCTACACGCCCCCCCCCTTTTTTTTTTTAATCTTTCAGATAGGTGAAAACTTGCTCAGTGCGCCCCAGTTACTATGGTAACCGGTCTCTCACAGGCAGCTAACCTTTTCATTCACCGTGTTGACATTATCTGTAGAAGCATCTTCTGAATGTTGTTTTCCTAGAGCAACCATGGAGCAGTCATTATTCGTTGCCTTGGCATCTTCCTTTGAATTCTTCCCTTGGCCCGTTTCGAGTTGACTAGACTTGTAGGCCAAGGCTGGTATAGTGTTCACTAAAATTAACTGTAACGGCTTTTTGTTTTCCTTATACTGACATTGAATATACCGTGAAAAAGCTGACCTATAGGTCTTATTGAACAGCGTGTACACGAGTGGGTTGACGGCTGAGGACAGGTAGCCAATCCACACGAACACATTGAGCAGGGCTCCGATGACGTCCTCGCTGCAGGATTCTTTGCAGATCACGGCCATGATGTTGGTGATGAAGAAGGGGCACCACATCACCACGAACAGGAAGAAAACAATGCCCAGCACCTTACATGCTTTCTGCTCATTGCTGATGGACTGCATAGTTCTCCTGCCATACGACCCCGGTTCCCTGTGGATGGAGCGCTGGAAGAGCTTTTCTGAAGACAGTGAGCTCTGAGGGAGGAAACTGAAAGAAGCTAGTTTGCCCCTGGTACCAAGATCACTCACACACAAAGTAGCTTCTTTCTGGAGTGATTTGATAGTCAAAAAATATGTGATCACCATGATGGTTAGAGGAATGAAAAACGACACAAAGGAGCCAATCAGGACGAAGTTATCATCAGCCAGCAAACAGCTCCCTTCCTTAAAGACTTTGGAATCATCCTGGAGCCCAAAGACGGGTATTGGCATGGATATACCTAGAAATGGGCAGAAAAGGAAACATGAGCATTAAGGAATTGAGTGTGTGAAGTCAAGAGCATCACTACACAATGGTAGTTGTTCAAAGGATTTTAGATCAGTAGAGTATAAAAGCTAAACATGTACTTTTCAATGAAAAAATTAAATTCTTTTGGACTGACTCATCTGGTTTATAACTATATGTTATATAAGTCCTTATACTTATCTGTGGCATTGCCTGATACATTTAGTCCATTACTTATAAATAAATACAATAGACCTAGGTATAATTTTGCTTGCTGTAGTTTTCTGATTATAACACTATATTTATTCAATAAAATATGCAAAAAGCCAAGAAACAAAAATATCTTTCAGACACACACACACACACACACACACACACACACACACACACACCAGGAGCACACATTTCTAAACAGAATGAGATTCTCTTTTATATACAACTATACCTGGTGTACCGCTGTGGGTTAATGCGCCACACTGCATTGCCATTTGAACTTGCAAGGTCGGTGGTTCAAGCTCACCATTCACTCCTTGGAAACCCTATTCAGGATTGCTATGGGTCGGAATCGACTCGACAGCACTTAACAATAACAACAACATTCTTCTGTATAGAGTCCTGGTGAGGCGCTGTGGGTTAATATGCTGGACTGCAAAGTCAGTTTGAACTGCAAGGTCAGAGATTCAAGCTCACCCGCTGCTCCTCGGAAACCCTATTAAGGGTTGCTATGGGTTGGAACACCACCATATTTCTGTATGAAGTCTTGGTGCGGCACTGTAGGATAAATACTAGACTTCTAACTGCAAGGTTGGTAGTTCAAACCTATCAGCTGCTCCTCATAAACTCTATACAGGGTAGCTATGAGTCAGAATCAACTAGACAGCACTTAGCAACCACAACAACATACTTCTGTATGGGGAGCACACTGGCTCCATAGGATAAACACTGGACTATAAACTTCAAGATCTGCAGTTTGAACCCACCAGCTGCTCCCTGGAAGAATGATGAAACTTTATCCTCCCGCAAAGGTTAAAAAAAAAAAAAAAATGAGCCTCAGAAATCCTATAGTGGGTTGCTGTGAGTCAGAACTGACTCCACGGCATTTAACAACAACATACTTCTGTACGAGGGCTGGTATGGCACTGTAGGATAAGCACTGGACTGGTGACTGCAAAGTTGGCAGTTCAAATCCACCAGCTGCTCTTGGAAACCCTATACAGGCTTGCTATGAGTCAGAATCAACTCGACAGCACACAATGCCAACAACACACTTCTATAATTCTTTTATTCACATAACTTTATATCATGAGAATGACTTACTAAATATAACTTCATAACATACAACATACTATGCTTTTCTTCTAGAAAATTTGAAAATATGGAAAAGCAACAGCAAATGAAGAAAAATAATATGCATTTTCACCAGTCAGGAGTGACCATGACTTACATTTACTTATTTTCTTCTAATTCCTTGTGCTTGTAAGTATATAAGTATGTGCAACATTTTATGTGAAGGTTTAGATCTTGTAATGTAACAAGAAATCATAAAAAATAACACACTATTATTTTTTTAAAAGGATTTTCTAATGGGAATTTAAACTCCATCTGATTTTGATCATTTAAAAAATGTATTATTTTGGGAAAAATTTAAAGGTATACAAGAGAGTGCAATTAATTCTCATGAGCTCAGCCATCAGCTTCAACTCCAGGCCAATCTTGTTTCAGGCAGACCTCCTACCATGTTGTCTCACCTCCCATGCTATTTGCAAACAGATCTGACATATCATTTCATCTGTAAAAATGTTTTTATATCTCTCTAAAAATTATGCATTGATAAAAAACAGAGTAAGAGAAGCACAATTCCATTCTCTCACCTAACTATACATTTTTATGACCTAAAGGTTTTGAAATATAAATTAATCCCATTTCTAATGGTTCCAGAAAGGTCAATATACATACTGATCTTTCTAGGATCATTAAAAAATTGTATTGTGTTGTTATTAAGTGCTGTCAAGTCAGTTCTGACCCAGAGTGACCATGTATAGGCTTTCTGAGGAGTGGCTGGTGAGTTTGAACCGCCAATCTTGCAGTTCAAACCAACCTTTTGGTTGAGTGCTTATGCTGCAGCACCACACCAGGACTCCAGAAATTTGTGTGTGTATGTATGTATGTATATATGTATGCATGAATGTATGTATATATGTATGTATATATGTATGTATGTATATGTATGCATGTATATATGTATGTATATGTATGTATGTATATTATATGTATGTATGTATGTATGTATCCATATCTGTCTATCTATCTATCTATCTATCTATCTATCTACACACATATTACAGATGAATTTGAGCCCACATATTGCAGAAGTTTGAGCCCACCAATCTCCCCATGGAGAGAAAGATGAGGCTTTCTACTCCAGTAAAGGTTTGGTGCCTTGAAAACCCTATATACAATTTCTGCGGAGTGGCTGGTGATTTGAACCACCAACCTTTCAGTCCAGTACATTATCCCACAGTGCCACATATATTTAGGTCAATGTTGTTGTGTGCCGTCGAGTGGCTTCCGACTCATAGTGATCCTGCACAGGGTTTCCAAGGCTGTTAATCTTTACGGGAACAGAACGCCTCTTCTTTCTCTCACGGAGCAGCTGGTAGTTTCGAACTGCTGACCTTATGGTTTACAGCTCGATTTGTAATCACACGCTACCAGAGCTCTCTCATATTAGGTCAATATGTATACATATATAGAGCCCTGTTGTGGCACTGTAGGATAATCACTAGAATGCTAACTGCAAGGTCAGTGGTTCAAACCCACTAACTGCTCTCAGAAACCCTATACAGTCGGTACTGACTGGACAGCACTTAATAACAACATATATATGTCTCTCTCTCTATATATATATGTATTATATCTATATATCTGTATCTATATATCACACACACACATGTATAACACGCCAACCTTGTGGTGCCAATCAACCTTGCAGTCAAGTGCATTAGCGCACATCACCATACCAGTATGTCAGTTGGAACAGACTCAACAGCATTTAAAAACAATAACAACAAATATATATATATATACTGTTGTTATTAAGTGCTATGGAATCTGTGTCAGCTGATAGCGACCCTGTATAGGGTTTCCAAGAGCAATTTGAGAATTTGAACCATTGACCTTGCAGTTAGCAGTCCAGTGCTTATGGAGGCCTGGTGGGCTCTGGGTATTAATGTTCTGGACTGCAAGATCAGTTTGAACCACAAGGTCG